AGAGAGAGAGAGAGAGAGAGAGAGAGAGAGAGAGAGAGAGAGAGAGAGAGAGAGAGAGTACATAAGATAGAATATGTCGTAGAAGAGAAGACTATTTGTTGCATGATTGATTGATTGATTGATATTGATATTGATTGATATTTGATTGATTGATTGATATTGATTGATTGACTGATATTGATTGCTTGATGTCCATTGATTGATTGATTCATGCTTCAAAAAAAAAAAGCCTGTACGGCCTGGAATCCTTATATAAGTACGCCCATAAGCTGATGGATAACCATCAACCTAGTACGGGCACCAATCAGAACAGAAATAACTGAGAGCAGGAGTTGCTTAATTGCCCGTTTTTCAATGTTTCACCACAAATATACCTTCACAATTGCGGAAAATAGTCTGAAAAAGAAAAAAAAGGTCTGTAATACCCGGTTTTTAAATGTTTCCCGGTAAATATACCCTCACAGCAAACTTTCATGGCAGAAATAGCTTTGTTCTTGCAAATTCCAACAATACCCCTTTGCCCGACTGTCTTGGTGTTGAAAATGTATTCGCCGGTAAATATTTAAAAACGGTTTAAAATTTTTAATATTTCTGAAATTCCCCCTAATTAAAACTTTGTTCGCCTCCTCCTCCTCCTCCTCCTCCTCCTCCTCCTCCTCATCATCATCATCATCATCGTCATCATCATCATCCTCATCATCATCATCATCTTTAGAGAGAGAGTCTGTCATGAAGGTGTATGGTTCTTCAATTACAATGAAAATTCCGCTTTTATCCTTTTTTTTCTCCCTTTTTTTCTTCTACTTCGAGATGCTTCATCCTTTTTTCATTTTGTGATTTAATCCCTGCTTTTTTTGCACAAAAAAAGAAAAAAAAAGTCCCTGCTTTTTGTTTGGAGGGGGGCGGCACGGAAGGGGGGGAGGTTGTGGCTGCACGTTAATGGTCCGTTCCACTATACAACTCTTCATTGACAATCAGAATGATGTTTTCCTTCTTCATCCTTTTTCTCCTTTTTTTCGTTTTTGCGGGGCCCCAACAGACATGCAATTGTTCTCGGCTGTGGGCCCCAGTAAGCATTGTGGCCGCCCTAAGTGAAGGTGGGACTGAATATCGTCAAAAGACCTACTTTCAGCAATTTTTCATATGACATTGTGGGTAGTACTCAGACAGTTGCAGCACGCCAGTTGGTTACAGAGAAACGTGAGCCTCCAGGCTGTTTCCAGCAACAAGGGCTGTGCTGTACAGTTGAGCCCAGGGCTGGGTGGTTGCGCCCTGGGCACATGCAGTGTGAGGCAGACACATCACGCAGCGGAAGAATGAGAAAGCAGCATCATCGTCACACAATCTCCACGAGCCAATGAGAATGCGGCCAACACTTGGAGCCTGAAAGGCTACCCGTACGTGCCCAACCGAAAAGGGCCCAGGCCCTTAAACCACCAGTACTTGGCCCAGCTATCGGCCGAGGCGCTTTCCCGCCTTTAGGGCTTCGGGGTACCCGACCACAATGGCTGGAAGGGCCAGCCAAAAACTTTTGAAAACGATACCCCGGCGCTTCGGCAAAAAATGGCGCGCAGGGGCATTCCAGGCTTGGGATCGAAAGCTGGGCCAAGTACTGGTGGTTTAACTGTAGAAGTGGGCCTGGGTGCAGACACTGGGGCCCGTAGGTCCACGCAGACACACACAGCGGCTGCACTTTCCATGAAGGAAAGAGGCCAGCCTAGGCAAAGGCATTCTGGCCAAGGAAGGCAATGTGGACACGCTGCTGCATTGCTGCGCAAGTGTCCGCATGGGCACTGCTGGTCGGACGCGCACATGGGCGAAGTGGTGAGACGGACCCTGCTGTGGCAGCGGGCCCACAGCAGCCATAGCCGGGCAGCTGGGGCGCAGGGCAGTTGATGGCGAAGGTGGTCTTCGGGTAGGAGGCGCATGATCTGGGGAGACGAGGGGCGATGGCGAGAGGAGAGAGAACGTTACACCTGGTGTATGCGGGTGATCGGCATTGGTGTTGACGTCACGTAAATTGGTCTTCAACGTCAGTCTGAGAGTGATCCAGTTGCGAGAAGGTAGATTGGCTGAGTAGGATAGGCTTGGTAGGGGCCACAGCCCATAACTCCTGGCACGTAGATTGGCTGAGTAGGATAGGCTTGGTAGGGGCCACAACCCATAACTCCTGGCAACGATAGGCTGAGTAGGATAGGCTGGAGGCTGGGCGCTGGGCGCCAGACAGTACTTGCGACATTGGATACTGTAACAGTGTTGGTGTGACCAGAGAGTGGTGACATTGAGGGCATACTCACACTGAGACGCCAAATCCGCAAAATATGAGGATTTGGGAAGGGCCGATTTGAGGTTTTGGCCTTGTATATCTAGTCAGAAGTAGTCCGCTCAGTTAATCCCCGGGGTTTTCCCCTGGGCAATCAATGCTGGTGGAAGTCAGAGTCTCTGAGACTTTTGTTCCAAATTCTTTCCATAACTTTATCTACATACTTTGTGAATGGGACACTGGACCCGGTTTCCAGCAGGTGGTGCTCCCCACCAATAGACGGAGCTTTTTGTAGAAAACAAAAGAAAAAAAGGTTTGAGGTTTTGGGCATGGTTTGGGTCGCACTGCTGTACCTTTAAAGATGGGACAAGGCGCTGGCCGTCTGGAGCAATGGGGATTTGGCATTTCTGTAGTCACACGGCGCATTCCACAAATTGTGCAAGAACTTCCGTGAACGAATTTTCACCAATTTCGAAGGAAAATGCTAAAAAGGTAAATAGGGCATTTGTGGTCACCTCCAGAGGTGACGGCAACGGCAAACTCCCTTGCCCCGCGGCTACACAGGCCGCTGACAAATCACACGAATGGTACATTTAGGACTTCGGCACGAATGGTACATTTAGGACTTCGGCAAATCTGTGTGACCGGTCCTGTACCCTTTTTCTTTGGTTGGGGGGGGGGAGAGGGGGGGGAGGATTTGGGATTATAGGTTCCAGTGTGAGCATGCCCTGACATTCGAGTTCATTGTATTTGGACGGTATCTTGTTGCATTGCACTCTCAGCTTGGTTCATGACTGTCTGAGCTTCTTCGTGATTTTGCAACTTGGATTTCTGTCTATAGCTTTCGCTCATATAATCATATTCCTTGCATTTTTCCTTCTTTTTTTTTAAAGAAAAAGAGAACGTAGGAGATAGCTTTTGGGGGGGTGGGGGGGGGG